CCGGTTGCCCCCCCTCAATTAGATGCTTCTGCAATAGCTTATATTTCCATCTTTGTATGCATTGGAAAGGTCCTCGCATATTGCCTTCATCAAGAGCATAAGAGACTTCCTATTGTACAACTTTCACACAATCTATACTCTAAGCTTCATCTAGAAACTCTTCTTCTCCTTGCACCTGTTGTCTCATTACCCCACAATCTATGCTCTAAGCTTCATCTAGAAACTCTTCTTCTCATTGCACCTGTTGTCTCATTACAGTACCTCGTTGGATCCTACGGGTACTCCTACATAATCTTCGTATGCCCTCGTGCAATTTCTGTTTTCCAGATTCTCTCTATTCCTTGCTTATGTTTGACAGCAACTCACTCTGTCACAACACCTATCCAAGTCAAAATAGGGTGTCAATCTTTATCCCCTTGTTGTATTTCTCTTCTATTTTCAATGTTTTAATCAATTCTACCCTCGAGAAATTACAGTCATCGAATCTAACTTCTTTGGAGAAATCACCACTTCATCAAATCCTTGATCATATGGAACCCAACTGTTCTTTTATGCCATCATCCTACTAGTCTTTAACAGTTTCATAACAAACTGTCACATATACGAAAATAGTATTGTATGGATAATCCTTCAACTAAGCAAGTTCCCAGGAAAGATTGAAGGGGTCACAACGATCTCGCTTAAAACCCAATCTCCTAGCCAGAACTTCTTAAGCCATATCTATCCACCATATTGTCTTTCCGTATATATAACCATTTGCTAGCTTTGTCGCGGCTTTTCTTTGCAAGTAATTTGGAATATATTAGTTTCATACCTGATTTCTTAACCTCTGGCGAGACTACCAGCGCTTAGATTCGTCAAGATTAGTCTTCATTAATTTCCACTCTCCACCTCAAATCGTCCACATGATCGGGTGTCTAGAGTGTCCCAATTTTGCCCTCCCTTAAAGCAATTAAAAATTTCCCCACATAATTGTTCAACACATGTAATTGGGCAAACATATGTGATTTCTTCTTCTTCATCTCCATCGACCACTACGATGACCATCAGATGCCTCTTGATCTGGCAATCTCTCTTTAATAATTCATCACCGCCATTTCTAGTCTCAATCTCAATGATCGGATCATACCATCACATCCAAAATGATTAAATTAGCTAGAAACAAGTATAAAATTGTCCAAATCATACTTCAGACGGCTAAGATTTGATCAAAACAATTCTGGCTTGATAAACGGCCTAAATTCAATCTCAGATCCGGTTGCACGTAGGATCAGCTACACTGGATCCTGTCCCTCGGCTTACGGCTTGGCTCAACTTGACTTTACTCAGCTCTGCTCATCTCAACTCGTGGCTGATAACGTGGCAGGTGGGTCCCACTATGCTGGCGTGGATGCTGACTAGTCGATGACATGGCATGCCACCTGTGCATGCTGATGCAATGATGATGTCATCATCATCCGGGTCTAGCACATGGGTTGGGTCGTCTGGTATTCGGGTTGGGTTAGTCCATCCGGGTGAAGAAGACGTGTGTGACGCGTGGCACATGTCTATGCGCGTGGCCAACCACCTCATAGACGTGTGCGGACGATTCTTATATCTGATTTCGACGCGGTTTTCAAACTTGGTTTTTTCTCTTCCTCCTCTACACAGTGATATGGTTAAAACACAATTTTGACAACTTGTATTTTTGAGCAAAATCACCACTTTAAACCATGTGCTCTGATATCAATTATTAGGGAATCCGACCCGTGATGTACTGATATTTTCCCATAAAAAGCCAAGCACACTAACACAATATTTAACATGGTTCGGCAAATCGCCTACATCCACGGGAGCGTCGATATTATTAAAGATAGAGAAAAGACACAAAACAAATACATGAAGGAGGAGGATTATACTCACTCAAACTCAACTCTCAGCTCACTGCTGCAATGGCAGTAGGGTTGCTGCCTTTGGTAGCCCCTCTTTCTCTCTTCTTCTCGCATGTTGCACTCTCACACTCTCTCATTTTGCTCTCAAACAATGCCTCTATTTATAAGCAATTCATGGCAGACAAGAGGCCATAAATCATGACACTAATGGTGGTAATATATGGGTTGCACCATTTTTGTCAATGATAGTGCAACTATCATTATAGCCTTTTAAAAATGGTAACCTTACTTTTTAGGGTAGGCTGCACAATTTATTGCCTATTAATAGCAAATCCCAACAAATAGGACTTATTGCAAGATCAATTATTGTATCAATCTTAGCCAAATACCATCTTGGTTTTGAATACTTGAATTTCTATTTCCCTCAGCTCATGTCCCCGGCCTCTTCCAGAAAGTTTGGGTTCGAAACTTTTTTTTGTAATTAAAAGTAGTATTCTTTTCGAATTGTCACGCTTGATGTTCTATCTCTTCTTTAAAGATCAATGACACTTATCTACGTTTCCCTATCATAAAGTTCTCTTTTAATTTTAGCAAATTCAAGTAAAAATACTATCAGGGATGGACTTTTTTTTCTCTCTCTCTCTAAAGATTGATTTTTTAACATAAACATGGCCTGGTACACCAAATTTTTCTAACAGTCACAATTTAGTGCAGTTAGGTTTTTTTTATCAAACCATCCAAATCATGGATCTAACACAACTTAATTGGGCCAATTATTTAACCCAATCAACTCAAAATTAGGCTTAGTGAAAAATAAAAAAAATCACTTTTTTACTAAAAATAAATAAATATAACTTTTAAATTAACTTTGTAATGACAAATTGAACTAATAACACAAAGACTTAGTTAAATAAATTCTCGCAATAGATTTGAAAATTGTAATGATAAGTAAAAAAATATATAAAATAAACCTACAAAGAATTAGTTCGTTGACCCATGTTATGCTATATTGGATGATATTTTTTAGTTTATAAGAAAAATATAGTCATTGATAATATATTTTCTAATAGAAAATTTTTTAATAATATAAAGATTAATTTAATATGATTCAATTGACTTGATGAATTGAATGACAACCTAAACAACAATTAAAAACGTAATTTGATTAAAAGAATTAAAAACTATATTTTTTACAAAAAATATAAAGACAACAATATATAAAATTGACTTAGATTAACTCGAGTTCACTTATAAAATTAATGATTTGGTTGATGAGACTTTAAAATTAATTAAAAAATAATTTATTATGATCAAATTAAAATAAATTATAATTTTTAATAAATTTAATTAAAAATAAAAATTAAAAAATAATTTAATTCAACTCAAATTAATAAAATAAACTAGATTATTATTCTTGGAAAAAGTGATAGGCAATTGGTGGAAGCTGACACCATGAAAGCCAAGGAGGAACTTGCCAAAGAAAACAAAGATAATTTGCAGCCATAAAGCATTTTTTAAAAAAATAAGTCTGAAGGAAAACGCATCAAAAGAACACAGTAATGCAATTTGCGGGCCGCTCAGGCAGAAAAAATTGTTGCCGAAGTCTTTTTGGTATCTTTTCATGGAGCTCTTCCCAGTAGCTGGTGATGACCCATTCTTTCCTTCACCTCCTTTCCATCTCGTCTTCTGTTTCCTCTGTCTTCTCTCACAGCCATCAGCCATTAATAAATGCATGAATGTGCATTTTTGTGCTGAGAATGGGAGAAGCTGCTCGACTGTCTTTTATTCCAGTTTCCATTTCACTCCGTTTACGTTATGAATCAAACGGAAAGGGTTTCTTATTTTGAGATGTTTTAAAATATTATAACGGCTATTTTTTATTTGAAAATTTATTAAAAACATATTTTTTATTTTTAAAAATTTATTTTTAATACTAATATATTAAAATAATCTTTAAAAAATTTATAAAAAATTTAAAATTTAATAAACTACCACAATACAAATAAATAAACAACGGCTACATCTCATCAAGCCATGTTATAAATGAAGTGGCTTTTATTTCACGAACCTAACAGAATTATAGTTTTAAATTTGACTTGGTTTAAGGGTTGGGTTTTAAGTTTTGATTGGATGATTAGATTATTGTGATTAATTTAAAAAAAAATTAAAATAATATTATTTTAATAAAAAATTAATAAATTACAATTGAATTTTTAATTAAATCTTACCAAATTACTTTTAATATTTTATTATTTTTTTAACTTGGTTTAATTTTAATCTCCAATCAGCTAGATGTAAAACCACCCTATTATATAACTAACCACTAAGGCTGGATTTTAAAATAATGTTATTTTATTTTTATCAAACACCTTCAAATTTAAAATAATTATTTTGAGTTTCAATTTTTTTTATATTTTTTAACGCCATGCCTCCGGCGAAATTAAGTACATTTCTAATCGAATCTCGTGTACATCACATCTGAACAGATGATGATTTGGCAAAAGATTATTTTGTTCCAACTATTCACCGAAGAATTGTTGTGTAAATGGTACATTTCTAATCGAATCTCGTGTACATCACATCTGAACAGACGATGATTTGGCAAAAGATTATTTTGTTGCAACTATTCACCGAAGAATTGTTGTGTAAATGGTGCGAATCAATAGAAAATAAAAATCATAACTTTAATCCAAATAAAAAGCCCATAAATCCTTTATTTAAAAAGAAAAGAGAGAGAGAGAGAGAGAGAGAGAGAGAGGAAGAGGAAAAAAAAGCCCACACGAACCACCTCTTGTGTTTAAAAAACACTAAAACAGCATTGCTGAATTTGCTTTAGATATATCCTTTCCCTGCTGTCATTCTCCAAACGTTAACTCAATATAAAAGGTGGCTAAAACGACATAAAAAAAAAAAAAAAGGAGAAAGAAACCCATCAAATGGGAGCCTATAGAGCTGACGATGATTACGATTACTTGTTTAAGGTGGTATTGATCGGTGATTCAGGCGTTGGCAAATCCAATCTCTTGTCTCGTTTTACAAGAAATGAATTCAGTCTCGAATCCAAATCCACCATTGGCGTCGAGTTTGCTACTCGCAGCATTCGCGTTGATGATAAAATCGTTAAGGCCCAGATTTGGGACACTGCTGGCCAAGAAAGGTTCCCCCACATCCCCTGCCTCTTTTTTTTCTTATAGATCTCTCATCCAATTCTTTCTTTTTTTCATGTCATGATTGTGTTTTTAAAATATATATATATATATAACAATGTGGGTTGTGATTTTGATTATTTGGATTGGAATATTGGCTTTTCTTGAATTCTCAATAACTAAAAATATTAAATAACTTGGAAAATTATAGGCAACACATGATGAATTGTTCAAATGTGGAATTCAATATAATGAATTCTCACGTACATTAATGGTGATAGACTTGGCCAATTTTGATGCCATAGAAATGCTTTGCGTAGTTGACAATGCACGGCTGTGCAATTGTAACTACTTGCATTTGTTCCATGCCCATGATCAGGATGGAACGGTGGAGGGTTTGACGTTAAACATCCATAATTAAGAATGACCGGTAGATTGTATTGTAAGGAACTGCAGGGTGATGTGGAGGTGATTTTTGGGATCTACGAAATTACAATTTATTAGTCAGAATTAAGACTCTCTTGGCATTACCTTGATGATTTGGGAGGATTTAATTAATGTTTGCGCAATCCTTCCTTGTTATGATCATTTTACAAAGTAGAAGGGCTAGATTAATATAACCAAGCAACGCCTATGTTGTCCGATGTTGCTATTTGGTTTTATAATTCTACAATTCATGATGCAAAATGGAGAAATCATTAGGTATATAAAGAATTGCACCCTCTTTTCTCGTATAAACATGGGATTCATCATGAAAATTATTCATGGACCCCACCTTCTTGTAAGAGAGGAAGAGGGCAACTCCTGAATAATGACTTCCGCAGTATGTGATGAAAATTTCTTGTTTAGATTATGATGTAGCAAATTCGGCTGTATTATTTCTAAATCTTCTTCTTCCTTTTTTCCAAAAGATACCGTGCTATAACAAGTGCATACTATCGAGGAGCTGTTGGAGCCTTACTAGTCTATGATGTAACCCGCCATGTTACATTCGAGAATGTGGAGAGATGGCTAAAGGAGCTTCGCGATCACACAGATGCTAACAATGTGATCATGCTTGTAGGAAATAAAGCAGACCTGCGTCACCTCCGAGCAGTTGCCACTGAGGATGCCAAGGGTTTTGCTGAAAGAGAGAGTACATTTTTCATGGAGACTTCTGCTCTCGAGTCAATGAATGTTGAAAATGCTTTCACAGAAGTGCTGGCCCAGATCTACCGTGTTGTAAGCAGGAAGGCTCTTGACGTTGGAGATGACTCAACATACCTGCCCAAAGGACAGACGATTAATGTCGGAAGCAGAGATGATGTCTCGGCTGTGAAAAAGGCTGGATGTTGCTCGTCATGAGTATTGGAAAGTTTCGAATTGTTTCTCTTCCGAGATTTTATTAGCTTAATCATGAAGAGAGAGCCTTAAGATTGTCGTCTTTGGGACTCCATTCAGGTTTATCTGACCATACGACAATATGCTAAGTTGACAAAAAAAACATTCAACAGTCTAAATGTCACTATTTTTTAAGAGCTAGAGATGAATTTGGAGCCTATTTTGAATCCTAAAAATGTTATGGTTCTTTATTTGTTGTTCTTTCTCCAGACAAAGTATTTGCTTGCCTCCACCCTCCCTCCATGTGATAGCAGCAGCCTAGTGCAGCAGTTTTATGTAAAGTTGGTTGTCTAGATCATAAACGTGTAAAGACCGGCTCTGACGGAGCATGTAATATTGAAAGCTCAAGGCTAAAAAATTATTTTATTGGTAATATTATTTTTCAACTTATTCATGTAACGCATCTAATTAAATTATAGAAGTGCTAAGAACCATATCGTATTTAAATCAATGAGATGTTATAATTATAAGCTTGCTCTATTTTTTAAGAAGTTTATTGTAGGTGGACTCCTTCATGCATCTATCAAGTTATCCCTGAATTCTAATGAAGATCGCTGAAATGAGAAAGGATTCGTGAACTTTTAAGGAAAAAAAAAGTCAAAACGTATAAAATACCCTAAAAGTTCATTTTGAACATGATATTCTGTATTACTATTGCTCTTCAAATAGAAAATAATACAGTATGAAGATATTTTCTAGTTTCTTGATTGAAATAATATTTTAAAACAATAAAAAATGAAAAGGCTTTCTGATTTTTATTAAAAAATAAAAACTAGGAATGAAGTAAAATATTGAAATAGAAAAATAGAAAACACTATCAGCACACCAATTACCTTTCCAATGAGCCATACATTGCTTCCCAAGTTACGCGACACCACGAAGCATTTTAACAGCAATTTTTGCAAGCAACTCACCCAATCCTTCGGTTAGTCCGCCAACGATGCCAGAGTTGAGGGCTTGCAGAAGAAGAAAAATCACACCATAACTGGATTCTCCATCCTCGAGGACTCACAACAGTGACAAATCATGTTCGATAATATAAAACAAATAATGGGTTATCATAGTGCAAGGGCAACAGTTCAGGCATTCCCAAGAAGACAAGGAGTAAGCTGCGAACAAATAGGTTTGAGAATTGGAATTCAGAATAGATGTTCAAATACAATCCAATCAAAATATTCTGTATACAAATTAAAGTTCAACCTTCTAAAAAGCATGAAATAATCTATTTGCTTTTCAAAACCAATAACATTGTCGACAAAGATAGGAAGATTATAGGCCAACTAGCAAGTTCTTTCTAGCATATTATGGAGGGCACTAATTGTTGATAACTTTCCTCCTATGGTCATTTCCGAGATTCTGCTTTCTTCTGCTCCTTGGCTGAAAAAACACAGTTTCTATCATTTACAAGAAAACATGAAAATAGAGGGCAAAGCAGTTTCTCCTAGAACCTTACCAGCCTTTTCTTCTTCTCGCTTTCTAGCAGCTTCTTCCCTTTGCTGGCGGATGAGACTCAATCGTTCTGCATGAAAAATAGAATATGAAACTTACAAAGATGGAAAAATGTGCAGGCTGCAAATAGAGCACAGAAGGAATGAAACATTCTTCAACCAAAGCCATCTCACAGAAATCTAATGAGATTGTTAAAGAGTAATATTGGTCGGATAAGCCCACAAACCTGAGACATGCCAACCATGTCACACCATACAATAGCACACCATTACATGACATCTAAATCATTAGAGGTGACTGTTTCACTTCCTACCACACTAATATGACAGATAAAAATACCTTCAACCCATGCTCAAATACAAAATATTCACATTAGGCCCAAAGAGCATATAATCTCTTACCCAAGTCTTTCCTAGCCTGCTCTGTTTTCCCTTGTTCTTGCAGCCTCATGTATCGCTCATGAGCCCTTTGTTTCTCTAACTCCTCCCTGCAAAAGATCGAAGCAAGCATTGTCAAACAAAATTTCTTCAGGTATAATCTAGAACCCCTAAAGATTGAGCCCTAAGAGCAACATATTATTTCCTGTTTCAGCACAACCATAACAGTTTGATATCCTCTCTACATCTCAACAAAAACGAATTCCTTCTTCAATACACAATATGCAAACCTTTCACGCCTTGAAAGCTCTGTTGTTTTCCCAGTCTGAAAACACAAAATAATAACAGCATTACTTCTCGATCTAATATAATCACTAAAAAAACATAGAAACCGAAACTTACATCAACATCTCTAGCTTTCAAGTTCTTTGCTTTCACCAAATTAGGATTTTCAATCTCAATAATACCTTGAGTTCCTTTCCGCTTTTGCTAAACATTATTCAACCAATTTCCAATTAACAATCCATTCCAAATAAATAAAAAATGTAAATACTTTAATAATTACTAACATCAGGATCATCTTCTTCGGATTCCTCCTCAGATTCCTCTTCCCTCTTTTCCTCTTCATACTCAGCTTCCTCCTGAGCATTTTAAATACAGATTCTCTCTCACACACAGTATCAACTTCACCAAAACAATTACATAAAAAACACAATTACTAATCAGAGCTGGGATAAGACGACACACATACCCGCTTAAACGTGCGAGGACGGGTTGAGGTGCCAGCAACTGCAATAAATCGAATATTACAAACAAATAAACAAAACTTAATTTTTACAAAAAAAAAAAAAATAGAAAGCAACAACTTTATAGATGGTTAAATAACAATCCAGATCCAACTGCAATTTCTAAAAAAAAAAATAAGACAATCTTACGCATCTGCTCGGGGGTAGAAAAGTGGCGCTGACCGGTAGGCTTTCCCTTAAACTTTCCTCTTCCCATCTTAATAAATCAAAACAATAAGTACTCAAAAAAAATAAAAATAAAAAATTAAAGTTAAAGGAAAAGAGAAGGATTGATAGGCTTTTAGTTCTAATCAGAAGGAAGATGTACTCTGTTTGATTTAGAAGTGGAAGAGAGGAGGATTTGATCTGATTTGATTTGATCCTTCCTGATGGATGGATGGATGGATGGGTTCCAAAGGCAAAACCCTAGAGGAGAAAACTTGGACCCGCGTGTGGTGGACGGGAACTTTTTATTGTGTCTGTTTTGCCCACATGGATCCTATGCCTTCACGTGGTAAATCTGTTGATCACACGATGGAGATGCGATAGATGTCTGATGAAAGTTTTGGAGCCCACAGAAAAGTGAAGCACCGCCAGCCCAGGCCTGAAAATCAAAAGACAGGCCTAGCCCAGATCTGATCGCTCAGCCTCCTTGGCGTCTTGTAACCCAAAAGGAAAGTTTGGATTTGAATCTTCGCATGTTTTATTAAATTTATTAAATAAAATTTAAATTTTAAACTGAATAAGTATTATTTAATGCATGATAATGCCAACCTAACGAGCAATTTATTGATCATGTCATGTTGGTCATCTTTCCTAGTAATAGGATGATCCCATTTATTATATTAATACAGTATTTAAATTTTATCTAGTCTTATATAAGTAATTTATATCATATAAAAAATATATTGAATCTTAATACAAACTATTTTTTTGTTAATAGCATCATGAATTTTAACTAAATTATACTATGATGTTAATTTAATTTCTCAAGGATTCCACTATTTAGTAGGATTAAACCTTTTAGTCCATCATGTAAATTTTAGCTGTGTTCAATTGTTTTTCTTTGATCAATTATGATTTATGGTTATTCATCAATTTTCTCCTAATTTTCCTAATTAATTAGGATTTTTTAAGCTCGGTCCATCTTATTGTTCATAATGGATTTTTACCTTTTCTTCATTTGTTTGATTGCGAACAATCATTTTCTTATTACATAAAATGTTTTTAGTATAAATACTATTGTTATATTGTTATATTAGGTTATTATACAATTTGAATCACCATTCCCAATTTAAAAAACATAATTAATATTTAAATGGATTGATATCCATTTGGAACATCATTTCTAATTTAAGAAATATAATTAATATTTAAATCTTTGTATTTAATTTTAAATTAAATAAAAGTATTAAATAATTAAAGTTATCATATATTAAATTATTTACAGTTATGATATATATATATATATGATCTAATGTAGAACCTATCAAGTCCCAGGTGTTGAGTTTTTCAAATATTATAGACGGGTGTGAATTATAACATAAAATTATTTGGAAGTTTTTAATATCTTTTTAGATATATTTAGAGTTATTTATGAATTTGTTATTTAAAGATTTGATCTTCTTTGATTTTGAATAATTTTTTAAAAACTGAGTTGTTAAAAATCTTAAGTCATTCAATTGTCAAGCAGCCTCTAACACTAATCCACATGAACTACCTATGAGAAATGTTCTAAATCTTTATTTAGATAAAAAGGATTGTTATACTTAAAGTGATAACTCTAATTTTATATTTACGTAGTTTTTCTATTTATCAAACAACCACTCTTCTAATAGGATAAAAAGTATATCTTACTATTTATAGAAAAATCTAAAAAACCCTATATATTAACAAAATATCAATTTGCTCCCTAAATAATATTTATATATTAATTTATAATAATTTTAGAAATTAACTCAATCAAGTCCTTAATTGATTTTTCTAAGTCTAGAAATATAATCCATGTATTAATTATAATATAATTTTTAATTTCTAAAATATATTTTAATCAAGTAATACTTAATTAAATCATCCCAGTTCAATTTTGACTAATGATTTTTAATGTATGTAACTCATTAGGTTTCTAATATTTTAGCCCAAGTATAAATTATAATTATAATTAAATAGAATTAAATAAATTAAACAAATGATTTATTATTAATTTAAAAATTTATTTATTTATTTTTCAAAATCAGATACAATATTTAGCAACATATCATGATCCCTCAAATATTAGAAAAGTCATTAGTGGTTTGACCTCACTTTTCACTGACTGATTTTTTAGTGTAATTAATATTTTTTCATCAGTATTATTCAAATTTAACATTAAAGCATAAAACATATTTGTCATGCTAAATCATGTTTATTCTCTACATAATAGTCATTGATCATTTGAATAAGATTTAATTTTTTTTTTAAATTTCATTTAATCTTAACTAAAGATTTCTAGGTGAATGCTATTTAAGAATAGATAAAACTTTTTTTTTTAATTCACTTATGATGATAAAATCCTCTCTTGATCACTCAGGTATCTTTATATAGTTCATCTATACCTAATATTTTCCTTTCTATTACCTCAATTAAGATAACATGTAACATAATCAAAGTATAACATTCTCTATATAAGATGACTTAGAAATTTCAAGTCTAAGAATCACTTACACGACTATTATGTTAGCCTTTCCATATATATAGGTGATCTCTTTATATGAAATTCTCATACATGTTAGTTCAGTATATATATCTTATGATAAACATCTATATATTAGTTCTAGGTATCATTTATATCTCATCTTATAAGAATAACTATTTGCTTTTATAAATAAAACAACATAATATATATAATGAATATCCAGTATTTAAGAGAGCATCAACTATGGATATTATTTTAAGAACTATAATTTAATACAATAGAAATCTCATAATTATAGTAACTTTATAATTTCTTTTACACAATATTTTTGTTCCATAAAATTTATTTTTATTCTAGATTAATTAATCTAATATTATATTAATATTTAAAATAAATCAAGTTTTTATTAATAATAAATATATATTTTATATGAATATAATAATAACATATAATCAACTGATTACCTCCAAATATATTAAACTAACCCCAGGTGCACGGATTTATAACAACATAGATAAACGACATATTTGTAGCCATAAGCTGCGTGCCTCTGCAGGTGGCCTTGTATGCATGGGGGAGAAAAAGAGAGGCAAAAACAGTTCAATTCATCAAACCGGATCACTCCAACAGTTCATGCAACTTGTGGACAAAACCATCCACATAAGAGTTTTCAAGCCCTTTGCCTAACAAAAACTCTCTCCATTTTGCATGGTTTGCTCGCACCAATTTCCCCACTTCACTATCATCATCCATCACAGCTTTCACTGCCTCGCAGACACCATGTCTTGTAAACAAGCCATCTTCTTCACCTTTCTTGACTTCAACTCCAACGTTCAGATCTCCACCCACTACTCTTGCATTGATTATTTGGTCTCCAGCATTTGGCAAGAGGACTAATTGACACTTATTTACCATACCCTCTGACAACGACCCAGATCCACAATGAGTCACGAAACATCCCACAGAAGGGTGCCTCAAGATCAGCTGTTGCTGGACCCAACCCGTATAAACAAATCCTCTTCCCTTAACTCTCTCCTCGAACCCTTCCGGCAAGGCTGACTCGATTGTTTCAGCTCCAATAGGTGGTTTGAGGACAGCGAAAAAGGGCAATGATGTAAGCTCAAGACCTAAAACCAGCTCTTGAAACTGATCTTTCTTAAGAATACATTCACTCCCAAAGGCACAGAATACTAAAGTTTCAGCTTTGAAGTTATCCAACATTTTGGCAATCTTTTCTTCCAAGACTGAGTTTGGTGGTTCTGGCACGATAGGACCTGCCAGAATCACAGGCTTGCCAAATTGGTCCTCGATATAATCAGAATAAGGCCCTTCCATCTCTCTACAAGTTTTGAAGGCCATAGCGTCACATTGACTTAAGGCATATAAATTGCGTTCCTGAAATGAAATGTTGCTTCCATATTGTTGTACAGTAACAGCGCACATTCCTCGAGCTTCATGGGCACGCAGCTTAATTAATGACGGTGGAAAACTCGGCGGAGGCTGCATCAAATCAGCTGCTGTCAAGCTCTCAAGTTTTCTCTCAGGACTTAACAGATAACCAATGGTAGCTGGGCTAATGATGCAGAAATGCACGGATTTAATACCATGCTTGCGTGACAACACCGGCAACCAATGAGTAAAATCGAAGAAGACGAAGTGAGGATTAAGGATGCGAAGATGGTCCTCGATGACATGTTCTGTGAGATCCATCGCAGTCATTAAAAGAGGATGCAAGGGGAAGGGAACATTAGTAGTTGTTTCGGTGCCTGTAGGGAGGCCATCAACATGAGGGACAGTGATAGGAATGAAGGTTATGAGATCAGGATGAAGATTGAAAGGCTCAAACTTGGATTGAGTTTTTTTTGGCAAGAAGAAAGAGACTCTGTGGCCTCTCTCTGCAAGCTTGTTTGAGAAATGGACAAATGCAGTAAGGTGACCTAGGGCAAACCATGGATACATGGCTATGTGAAGGGCTTTGCTGCTCCGAGCTGCTATGTTGGAGCTCATTTTAGATTGCAAAGCCTTAAAATTGGCTGGCCATTTTTATAAGTAGACGACCTTTAAACCTTGGTGCTAATTATGGATGCCTCCGAGGTTTTACTTATAAATAAGCATAGCTTTGCTGTGCCTCACATGTCTAACTCAAACTGATCTTATCTTAAACAGCTTTATCACGCGTTAGGTAACCGATTAGTCAACATTTTAATGCATCAACCACACCTCATGCAAGTAAAAAATATATCCTTTTTATATGGATATCACTAAAAAAAAAAAACCACCGACAACACCTCCAAGATAAACATCCCGTGGCTATAGCAAAAAGCTTCGAAAAAGACAAGAAAAAATAAATGATAAGTTAGGGCTTTAATAGCTTGTTTTAGAGTATCGTTATAATTATTTTTTATATAATTTTTAATGTTAAAATATATGTTAATAATTTTTTTTTTATTTTTTAAAAATATTTTTAACATTAACATATCAAAATAATTTAAAAACATAAAAAATATATTAATTTAAAATAAATAAAAATTAACAAATTAAATATTTTAAAAAATACATATATTTAAAATACAGAAACAAACATGGCTAAAATAATGTTAATACGAGGAAGTCGAACGCAGCTGTCCAGCCTATTTTTTCTTTTGACTGCTATTTCAAAGCTTCTACAGAGAATGGAACAAACAAATGACCAATAGCAATTATCTCTCTCGATTCTTGAACATTTGGATCGTGAAGTACTCGGAAAATTATTTCAGTTTTTTATCTTTTTTTAATCCTTTCTTCGAACTCGGGTTCACAGCTTAAGTTGTTAATTACCACATAAATATTTGCACGAGGGCCTGTTCCTCTCAGGTATATAATTTAAAATTAATTTTAATTAAAAATAATTTTTATAAAATTATAACCACATGATATCACAATACCAAATATATTTACTATAAAATTTGTTTAAAAATATAGTTGTTATTATTTTTTAAATAATTTTTTATGTCATAGTATGTTTGATATTTTTTTATTTTTTTAAATTATTTTTAATATTAATATATTAAAATAATTTAAAAATATTAAAAATATATTAATTTAAAATTAATAAAAAATATAAAATTTTTAAATTTTTTTAAAATACTTTTAAATAGCAAATACAAAACAGGATATATACAGAATATAACCACCAAGTAACTCCCAAACAGACAAAAAAACAAAAAAGGAAAAAGAAAAAGACAAATGTTAAAGAGTACAAACCGGGGGGTAAATTCCATCCACCATAAAACTCCTTTGCCAGGGGATTGGCTGCCCGTTCATACACGCCAACCCTTCTTATAGGTTTGAAACAATTGATTTTCCCATCAGCCGACAAAACCACCGAAATTTCAACCAAAAATAGACGTCAGCGACCTTTACGTGCGTGCCATCACACGGCATACACCCATCCACCTCTATTGAATTTAATGCCATTGGAGTCCAAGGACTAGGAATAATAAATACGTTTTTTTTAACTTGAGGGTGGGCTCAGATTTTAGATTTTTTTATATAAATTTTAAAATTATTAAAGATTTATAATCATTAATTTTAAAAATATATTTATTAATAAAAAAATACATTTCTTTTCATTCTATTTTGAGATTGAAGGAAGATAAGTTACCTAAACGGCTAATCCACTCACTCATCAACCCCGAAAGACAATGTCATAATGTCCACTGATAAATGAGGAAAGACCAGCACACGCTATGAACTCTGGTTCTTGGAATGACAATCCGAAACAGATGCCTATCCTCATACTTGATTCAATGTAGCTGATTCACATTAGAAAGCACTACCAGATAAACCTGAACGGGGAAGATGAAGCATAGATAATGGAACAAATTGGATTACCTGATAACTAGCAATATCCAGTGCAGATGATTTCAGATCGGCGTCAATCTTCTGTGCGGGGGTGGCATCTGTTGAATTTCCTTCACTTGCAGAATCACCTGCATCTGTGACTTTGAAGTAACTTGGTATTTCACCAGTCCAAGCACCAATCTTCTTATCCATAGCTATATCGCCGGGCCAGCCAAAAGAATCCTTCATCTTGTTGCAACATGAAATGCAAAACTCTTGAAACTATAAAGATGAAGTTAATTATTAACAAATACTCTAGTGGGAAGGGGAAAGTACTGTAGTTTTATTTTTTAGCTGTTTTGTTATTTATTTTTGTTTTTTATGTTTTATTTATTTTTGTTTATTTTCCTTTTTTTCCCATATCTTTTTTTCCCCATATTTTTTTGTGTTTTACATTCCCCCCCCCCCCAAAAACCTTCTTCTCTTTTTCTTTTGTTTTTTATTTTTTTTGTGTTTTTTAAATTATTTTTTTATTTTTTTTAATATTAAACTAATTGAAAATTTAGCATTGTAATTTTTTTAAAACATTATAAATTATTACAATGTTTTCTTGCATGGTTTTTTATGAATTTTTTTTAAATAATCTTTGTTGATTTTATCTTTTTTATATTAAGCTGGTTGAAAATTTCGTTTTGTAAATTTTTTCTTTATAACACTGTGAATTGCTACAATATTTCCCTATATAGTTTTTATTTTGCTATAATGTTTTCCCACATATTTTTTTTATTTTTTTGTTTTATTTCTAAATTTTTTTTGTGTGTTTTCTTTAGAATTTTTTTTTGTTAATTTTATTTTTTAATATGGAGTTAGTTGAGAATTTAGCTTTGTAGATTGCTATATTGTTTCTCCACATAGTTTTTTTATGATTTTTTTTTCAGAATTGTCTTTGTTGATTTTTTTTATATTGAACTGATTGAGAATTTATCTTCATAATGTTTTTCTTTAAAATACTATGGATTGCTACAGTATTTCTCTCCGTGATTTTTTTATAATTTTTTTAAAATTATCTTTATTAATTTTATTATTTTTAATATTAAGCTGGTTGAGATTTTTTTTATATTCCACTATTATGTTCTTTTATTTATAAAAGGAAATAGTTGTTCTTATAAGTTGAGATATAAATGATACCTAAAACTAATATATAGATGTTTATCATAAGATATATATATTGAACTAATATGCATGAGAATTTCATATAAAGAGATCACCTATATATATGGAAATGCTCACATAATAGTAGTGTAAGTGATCATTAGATTTGAGATTTCTAAGTCATCTTATATAGAGAATGTTATGTTTTGATTATGTTACTTGTTATCTTAATTGAGGTAATAGAAGGGCAAATATTGGGTATAGATGAACTATATAAAGATACTTGAGTGATTAAGAGAGGATTCATCATCTTAAGTGAATTAAAAAAATATTTTATCTATTCTTAAATAGCATTCACTTAGAAATCTTTAGCTAAGATTAAATGAGATTTGAAAAAAAAAATCTTATTCAAACGATCAATGACTATTATGTAAAGAATAAACATGATTTAGCATGACAGATATGTTTTATACTTTAATGTTAAATTCAAACAATATTGATGAAAAGGATAACAAATATAAAATATGTTAGTATCAAACATTAAAGTTTATATTAAGTTTACACTATATTTATTTTTACACTATTAGTATAACCTTTACACGTTGATATAATAAACTTAGCTAAATATAATGAAAGAGAGAATCATAAATAAACAAGATAAGAACATAAATAAGATAAAAGTTAACTAAGAAAAGGAAAGGAAATGAAAGGTATAAACAAGATATTAATGAAAATAAAATTAAGCATTATAAAAAATTAGTCAGTGAAAAGAGAGGTCAAACCACTAATGACTTTTCTAATATTTGAGGGATCATGATATGTTGCTAGATATTGTGTCTGATTTTGAAATATAAATTAATTAATTTTTAAATTAATAATAAATAATTTTTTAATTTTTTTTAATTCTATTTAATTAGAATTATAATTTATACTTAAGCTAACATATTAGAAACCTAATGAGTTACATAAATTAAAAATCATTAGTCAAAATTGAACCGGGATGATTTAATTAACTTGATTAAAATATATTTAAGAAATTAAAGATTAGATTATAATTAATACATGGATTATATTTCTAGACTTAGAAAAATCAATTAAGGACTTGATTGAGTTAATTTCTAAAATTATCCTAAATTAATATATAAATATTATTTAGAGAGCAAATTGATATCTTGTTAATTTATAGGGTTTTTTAGATTTTCCTATAAATAGTAAGATATGCTTTTTATTAGAAGAGTGGTTGTTTGATAAATAGAAAAACTATGTAAATATAAAATTATAGTTATCACTTTAGGCATAACAATCTTTTTTTTTCTAAATAAAAATTTAGAACATTTCTCATGGGTAGTTCATGTGGATTACTCTTAGAGATTGCTTGACAATTAAATGATTTGAGGTTTGTAACAACTCAGTCTTTAAGGAATTATTCAAAATCAAAGAAGATCAAATTTTCAAGAAACAAATTCATAAATAACTCTAGATCTATCAAACGGGATATTAAAGTCTTCCAAATAATTTTATATTATAATTTACACCCATGTATAATATTTGAAAACCCAACACTTGGGACTTGGTAGGTTCTACATTAGATCATATCAAAAGATAGATAAATATATGCAGTCAAGTTTTGTCAGAACCTACTAGTGATGCATATAAATGTTCGTGGGACACACATATATATATCATAACTGTAAATAATATAATATATGATAACTTTAATTATTTAATCCTCTTATCTAATTTAAAATTAAATACTAAGATTTAAATGTTAATTATATTTCTTAAGTTAGAAATGATGTTCCAAATGCATATCAATCCATTTAAATATTAATTATGTTTTTTAAATTGGGAATGGTGATTCAAATTGTATAATAACCTAATATAACAATATAACAATAGTATTTATACTAAAAACATTTTATAAAATCTTTAGTTAAGATTAAATGAAATTTTAAAAAAAAATTAAATCTTATTTAAATGATCAGTGACTATTATGTAGAGAACATGATTTAGCATGACAGATATATTTTATGCTTTAATGTTAAATTCGAATAATACTGATGAAAAAATATTAATTACACTAAAAAATCAGTCAGTGAAAAGTGAGGTCA